CCGGCGGAAGCCGGAGGAAGGGGAAGTGCTGGGGCAGGACGTGGGAACGGGGGGCCCCCTGCGCCGGAGGATGCCGGGGGTGAGCCCAAACTCCTCGCTGGGGAACAGCAGCCTGGCCTGAGCCGGGACGGGCCCTGCCGGCCAGCCCAGGGACGGCGAGGCGGGCAGGGATGGCCGGAGATGGCAGTGGGGTGGCCGCGGAGAAGGGGGGGGGTTCCCTCCAACCCGCCCTGGCTCAGCCCCGTTGCGAGCGGGAAGGCGGCCGTGCGTGGACGAGCGGTTCGGAGACAGTCCCGGTGCAGCTTCGCAACGCTCCCGTGACGGGAGCTTTTGTCCACTGGCGGTGCAAGTCTGGCTGGAGAGGGCAAGCGGGACCGCAAACTGCGCTGCCGGCACGGAGGAGTTTGGTGGCTGCAAGCTCTTGGTGCTCGGGGACTCAGCAGCCTTCCCTCCGCTGCCCTCTCCGTCCCGGGAGATGTCCCCACTTTTTCCCCCTTCCTAACGTGTTGTTGTGTGGCAGCTGCCCCATGGAAGGTGAAGAAGCAGTCGCTCGTCTCGTGGAAACCCCCCCGAACGACGGGGATGCCCAGGATCTTCCGAAAGAAGGTGAAAACGCAGCCGAGGGAACAGCAGCCGCAGAGGAGCTGGCTGCAACCAGGGACACGGGGGACAGCAGTGCCCCCCCGGGGCGTCTCTGGCCGGACCAGGACATGCCACGCTTGGACCACGGGGACGGTGAGCGCTGGGGGTGATGGGGTGGTGGGAGCCGAGACGGGGCATGCGCGGACCCGGGATCCTGCAGCGTCTGTCCCCCTGTAAACTGGGATCAACGTGCCCTCCGCCCTGGGGTCGGGGTGCACGCGGGGTGCTTGCCGTGCCGGTTGGGTCTCGTTGTGCCGCGTGTGGAGCCCAGCCTGCTCCCCAACAAGCGGAACCGAGGTCCCTAATGGCCGCCTTTGTTTTGTAGGTGGAGCAGACACTCTCCCGAAGCCCTCGACTGCCTCGATGGACAGGCAGAGGAGCACTGAGCTCTCAGCCCTTGACAGTGAGTGTTGCAGAGCCTGGTGCTCACAGATGCTGAGGCGCAGTCCCAGTGGGAGACAGGCGTGGGAGAGGTCATCTGGATCCTTCCTCCCACAAAGGCAGCTAGAAAAAAGTCTTTTACTGCTGCCAGTCCGTCCCATAACGTGGCAAGGCCAAGTCCAAATCCAGACCTTGCTGATGACTCGTGCCAGCAGTGAGAGGTCGCTGCAGCTCCACGCAGTGGAATGAGAGACGGCAAACTCTTTCCATACGCTTTCCTAATTAAACTACAAATAGCTTGTTGAAAACACATTGAGATTTCCAAGTGGAGCTCTTCAAGGGTAGGAAATATGAGGATGAACTTGAGTGCATCCCCCAGGCTGTCCTCTGCAGTATATCCTTTGCAATTACGCTGTTAATGCCAGATCCCTGCCTCCCGCAGTGCCCCAGATGGACCCTGCCCCTCCTTGGACAGCTGTTCAGGCTGTTTTATCTTCCCTGCTCAGCTGTTGGTCCCTGCGCGCTGGTCAAACCTCAGTCTCCAGGCTCTTTACTTGCAAGGGAATAATTCCTTTTTTGCAGGACTCCGTTTTTACCAGGGACAGGAGGGAATAGCTGCAGATAAGGCGCATGAGACCTGGCCTTTCATGAGGTTCTTGGCCTCAAGTCCCTGTAGTTCCTCCCTGTGCACGGAGGAGACGTGCCCTGACTCTCTCCTCTCTCTGGAACAGGCTTCCCCCTGAAGCACTCGAACACGCTGACGAACAGGCAGCGAGGCAACGAGATCTCGGCCCTCCCAGCCACGCTGGACAGTGAGTACCGCTGGGCAGAGCGGGCTGTGCATCCCAGACCGTGGATGCATACGGGGTGCAGAGGGAGCAGAGGGAGAGCGGGGCTGGAGCCTCCCTCCGTCTCCTGCTGCCACGCTGTTCAGCGTCCACCGGGGCCGTCTCTCGGGCTGCTCCCTGCAGTGCTGTTGCTCTCAGCACTCACCGCGTCTGGCTGTCCCTGCCGCTGTACGGCGGAAGGGTGTTAGTGACCCATTGGGGTTTTTGGGGCTCAGACAGGGGCTGTCCGGTCACCACCGCCCCAGACTTGCAGGGACCCACCTACAGACAGCGGGTGCTGAGCTGGGGAAAGTTTGTCCTGATGGGTGAATTCTTTCTATCCCCCAGCATTGTCCATCCACCAGCTTGCTGCCCAAGGAGAGCTCAGCCAGCTGAAAGAGCACCTTCAGAAAGGTACACGTCTCTTCCTTTGGGTTCTTACCCCAGATCATGCAGTGTCCTGCCAGGTCATAGCACGGCTTTTGATAAACCCTCGGCTTAGTTTTACAGCCTTTGTTGGGTTTACTGGGGGGACAGGGAGCAGAGGGGGCTTTACCCTTCCCGTTTACGATGTCTCATCCACGTTTGTGCAGGTGAGAACTTGGTAGATAAACCCGATGAGAGAGGTTTCACGCCGCTGATCTGGGCTGCAGCCTTCGGAGAGATCGAAACGGTCCGTCACCTGCTGGAATGGGTAAGGCCACGCTCACGCAGCACCTCGTTAACAGGAGACTTCCCATCTCCAATCCCCATGGCTGCCAAATTGTTCAGCACCGTCCTGGTACCATCTCAGCCAATCTTTCCCATGGCACCAAGCAGGACACGTTTGCAGAGCTAACGGCTCAGACGCTGTCGGATGCTACTCCCCATTGGGCTGTGAGCTAAGTCAGGAGCATGAAGAGCCTTATCTCACAGCTAGCAATAACTGTTTGTAATTAAATATCTGCTTATTGGTAATTTGAGATCAGGCTTATCACTTGGGCCCTGTAATCTGCCAGCAAATGTGCTCGCTGAGGTATCGTTGCAGTTAATGAACTCATTGCTGCATCGTCCTTGAGTGCCGGGCTTGCAGTCGAGGACTGTCTGGGGGTGAGCAGGAACCAGATCCTCCTCCACGCTGGATCAAGCTGCTCCCCAAAGCTCAGTCCCACATCCACGTGTCTCCAATGATCAGCGAGCACTCATGCCATGTATGCACTGGCCAAACTCTGGCTCTGTCACTGCATTAGCAGCAAAATTGCAGTGCATTACCAGAGAGACAAAGAGAACCCAAAATAAACGAGGCGATACATTGATAAAGGCTATAGTGAAGTCCAGGAGAGGTCCATGGCTGGCAGGGCTTGGAGGACAGGGAGGTTTTCTAGGTAGATCAGTTACAAAAGAGATGGTGGATACTGTACAGGCATCTAGACAGGGCCGGTAACACTGTTACTAGTGACGGGGGAAAGGGCTGAGTAACAGGAACCATCAGGCTTAGTTTACTGATACCGGAGACGGGCTTTTAAGTCCTCCCCCGAGATGTTTGATGATTAAAATATGCCCGGTAAGGACTTTGGTAAGGAGAGGTCACTGGGAACGCGTGAGCCGTCTCTGCCCCATGAGGCCGTCGGGACCTGGCTCCACGATCAGCCCCCGTGGGGTACCCAGCAAGGCTGTGCTGAGCACCCCGGGTCTCCGCAGGGCTCCTTCGCCAGTTGGGGCTAACGCCTGTGCCGTCCCCAGGGCGCTGACCCCCACGCGCTGGCGAAGGAGCGGGAGAGCGCCCTGTCCCTGGCCAGCATGGGCGGCTACACCGACATCGTCGTCATGCTGCTGGAGAGGAACGTGGACATCAACATCTACGACTGGGTGAGTGCCGCCGGGCGCAGGCTGCTGCGGGGACCGCGCCAGCGCTGGGAGCGACACCAAGCCCCGGACGGGGCTCCGCAAAGCTCATTTTAAAAAGCAGCAGCGAGTTCACATCGTTCTGGGCTGAGTCAGCAGCAATGCCTTTCTCCTAGATGCTTCCCAGGCTCACAGCACTCGTTTGCCTGCTCATGCAGTTGTTTCGAGAAATTAATCGGGATAATAATTTTAAATGGTTTCCTCAGTTGTTCACACTGGTGATGTTACCAGCCACAAGGAAACAGCGCTCAGAACTTAAGGTTGTCTTTAAAATGACACAATTTAAAAGTTATTGTATTGCATAGAGAGAATAAAACCTGCGCAGAGCCGCTCTGCGAGAAAACACCCAGCCTGGAGCTGGGAGAGGGCGGAAAGGGGATCCCGGCGGGTTGGGGACCTACCGCTCCGGGAGAAGCAGGAGCTGCGTGAGCACGGCCCTGCGCGAGGCCGGCAATGACACAGCCCCTTCCCTTTCCCTGCAGAACGGCGGCACTCCTCTGCTCTACGCCGTGCGCGGCAATCACGTCAAGTGTGTCGAGGCCCTACTAGGTAACGGGGAAGATCTGCACTTAGTCCTCGGCCTTGAATCGCTGCTCGTTGGTAACCGACTCGGGGAGAGAGCGGTGACACACCTGGGGGGAGAAACTGAGCAGCCTGGGGGTGTCACGGGGGGCTGCCCAGCCAGGATGGGCACCTTTTGGGGGTCCCCTCGCCCTGCGCCTGACCCGGAGGGGACGCCGTGTCGGCAGGGGAACGCCGTGCCCTGATCTCCACTGCCTGCTTGCAGCTCGCGGCGCCGACCTGACGACGGAGGCAGATTCTGGCTACACCCCGATGGATCTGGCCGTGGCCCTGGGACACAAGAAAGGCAAGTGTCCCCTCCGTGCCTGGCAGGGAGCCCTGCCTTCCCTCCCCGAAAAGCCTCCAGGCAATTCCCAGCTTCCAGCCTTGCTCCGGGCTTTTTTTGACCTTCCACAGCTCCCCACTCCGCCACGCAGAGAAACCGCGCCAGAGAAATCAAGATGGGTCCTGTTCCCCTTGCTCCCCCTCCAAACCAGAGCTGTCCTGCAGATAGGGCTGGGACAGGGGAGATGGGGACAGGCTCCTGGAGAAAGGGGTTTTCCAGCCTCCCACTGGAAAACAGGAGCAAAATGGTGACCAGGTCCTGCCCACAGCGGTACTGGCTTCTCACAGGCTTGGCTTCCCTGGGTTTCACTTCTCTCCCCTCCGTTAGTCCAACAGGTTATCGAAAATCACATCCTCAAGCTATTTCAGAAAAAGGAGTTGGAGTGACACGGCGGCTCGAGCTGCACTGCTGCTGCACCAGCGCTTCTCCCGGCCGCCGCAGGGCTCTCCTCTGGGACCCAGGCGGCCTCACCCGGCCGTCCCGAAACGGGCAGCGGCGCAATGCTTCAAGCAAGGAGCACGCGGAGGAAGCCGGGAACTGCCTGCCCTCGGTGGATCTATGCCTCTCCCGGAGGGTGGCACGGCCACAGTGCCTCGCACCCAGGGACGCTCATTCCTCAGGGCAGCTGCATTTCTGCGCTGTCCGGGCTCGGCTGCTTTGTGCGTGTGCGCATTCAGGTATTGCATTATTGAAAGTAAACTCTAAAGCAGTTGTGTAGAGCCCTGTCCATTGCCTCAGCCTGTCACAGCTGCCAGTCCCCGATCCCAGCACCAGCTACTGGGGAACCGCGAGGGGAACTGGGCCAACCAACCTCTTCAAGGCCTGCACCCTCCCAGTGGCCTGGTATTCCTCTCCGGAGCCGTCTCTTTGAAGAGGGAAGCTCCCTCTTACGCCCATAAGCTTGCCAAGCCCTCCCTGCACGCAGCGCCATAACCAGCCAGGGAAATATCCATAGGCAGGAGCAAAACCCCGCAGGAAGCATCACCCTGCCGGCCAGGAACACAGCACGGCCCCAGCCGACAGCCGGCACGCTGCAATCCCGAGCCGGAGCCCCGCGAGGCTGCAAACAGCCGCTCCAAGAAGTTCAAGGGTGGTTAGCAAAGGCGAGAGACAGCCAGAGCCCACAGCACATGGAGGCGGCACTTCTCCTCTCTCCTGCTCAAGCCACACACCGGCATGGCCATGGCAAACCCCGGAGGGCTCGGTCCCGGGGTGCCACTTGCCCAAGGAGCAGCCAGGAAGGAGCGGGGACGCCGTTTATTCGGCCGGTTACACAGGCTGTGTCCCACCAAAGGCTCGGAAGTCCGGCACGTGGATCTCAGCACTAGTGTCCCTCTGTCACTGCCATCCTGTGGGGCGGGGGTTCCCTCCCAGCACCTTGGGGTGCAATTGGGGGCAGCACGGCCCCACTGGCAGGGTTTGCTGTCCCGTTTCCCCCCACGCAGCAGAGCCCCTGGGGGGGAACGCAGGCGATGGGGAAGCGGCCCCCCACGCTGTCCCTCGCCTGTGCCCTAGAGCCTCTCCCCCAGCACCCCGAGGTGGTACACCACGATCCTCCCGAAGAAGTCGGTGCTGTTCTCAAAGGTGATCTTCAGCTTGTCCAGCACCGTCTCCTCCACCTGGAATCTGTGCGGGGCCCGTAAAGGAGAAAAATAGGCAGGGGGATGACACGACACGTGGGAGACCTGCTCCGAGCAGGCCCACGAGGGGCTCGCACCCTGGTGTACCACGGCCGGTGATGTCCGGATTTGCTCCAGCTCCTCTGAGTTGCTTTAGCGGTAGCAAATTGCCAACAGGCACCCGCAGGTCTGTCGTTTAAATCGCAGCTCTGCCATCGCCCCCCTGCCCCTCTGCAGCCGCGGGTGGCTCTGAACCCGCCGAGCCGTTCGACCCAGCCCGCAACGCGGCAAAGGATATCTGCATGGCGTTGATGTCCTCGGGGTACAGGTCGGATATTTTCACCAGTCCTTCGCCTGCTCTGCAGCCTGCAGAGGGCAAAGGTGGAGGCAGCCGCGCGGAGGCTCAGGTGCTGGGGGAGCCTCCAACGGCTGCCATGGCCTCGGCTGCTCCGTCTCTTATCTGCTGCCAGGCTGGGAGCAGCGGTCCGTCTAATGGACCAGGTTCCCATCTGCACCCAAAGCGTCCCGGAGAACCCTGGATCCTCGCTATCCAGCCCTTCTCTGCTCCAGCCCACGGCCTCAGCCCCTCTGGGGTTTGGGGAGTGGCTAATGAATACCTCTGGGCCTTGCAACAAACAGCTGCAGGATCCAGATGAGGGTAAACAGAGGCAGAGGGATCCCCCACACCCCCAAACCAGCTCCTCACCTTCCAGCGTGCACAGCCGGCTGGAGAATCCCCCCTGGAACTGGATGTGGAGCTGCGAGACCTTGACGGTGCGGGGGAAATCCAGGGTGACCCACTGGCACGTGCCCTGAAGGCAGGAATGACACCGGGGCTCTGTCACGGCGGGGAGAGCGGGGTGTCCACCGTGTGCACGGCTCCCGTCCCCCGTCCCCAGCTCTTGTCCCATGCACGGCTCCTGTCCCACCCCTCCGGCTTCCCCTGTCCTCGTCCCCCCACCTGGTCCGAGTTCCAGCACGTCTCCTCGCTCGTGTCAAACATGTGCTTCTTCCCAAACTGCTTCACGTCCCGGTTAAGCACAGAGCTCACCCTGCAGGGACACGTGCCACCGACCCGGGGACACGACGGGGACAGCGTCAGCGATGGGACTTGAGTCCCCCGCAGGGCCAGGGGACAGCGCGTGGCACCCAGGAGGGACCCGCCTGGGGGTGCTGGCCGTGGCACCCCGCTGCCTGCTGTCCCCTCGGGGGGCCGGGACTCACCGCGTGGCCGTGTCGGCGCAGATCAGGGGTTCCGCGGGCATCGCTGCCTGCGGCCACGCTGCCTGCGGAGAGACGGGGTCAGCAAGGGGCAAAAATGGGGACACCCAGCAGCAATGGGGACCTCTGGGCAGCACTGGGGACCCCTGAGCAGCAATGGAGACCCTCGAACAGCATTGGGGACCCCCGGACAGCATTGGGGACCCCTGGACAGCACTGGGGGCACCCCGGCAGCACTAGGGGCACTCCAGCAGCATTGGGGACCCCCGAGCAGCACTGGGGGCACCCCCAGCAGCATTGGGGACCCCTGGACAGCACTGGGGGCACCCCGGCAGCACTAGGGGCACTCCGGCAGCATTGGGGACTCCCGAGCAGCACTGGGGACCCCTGAGCAGCACTGGCTGGGGGGCGGCTGGGTGCCCTCCTGGGCCAGCTCTGTAGGTGGCAGTGGTGGAGCGCAGCTGAAAATAGCAGCGGAGAGAGAGACTGCAGCGAGAGCCGGAGCGCGGGGGTGTGCAGGAATCCCTGCGTGCTCCAGCATCCCGGTGTGCTCCAGCATCCCTTTCCCTGTGTGCTCCAGCATCCCTGTGTGCTCCAGCGTCTCTGTGTGCTCCATCATCCCTGTGTGCTCCAGCGTCCCTATCCCTGTGTGCTCCAGCATCCCGGTGTGCTCCAGCATCCCTATCCCTGTGTGCTCCAGCATCCCTGTGTGCTCCAGGCGTCACTGTGTGCTCCAGCATCCCTGTGTGCTCCAGCATCCCTGAACGTCCCAGCGTCCCTGTGTGCTCCAGCATCCCGGTGTGCTCCAGCATCCCAGTGTGCTCCAGCATCCCCGCACACCCCAGCATCTCTGCACGCTCCAGCATCCCTGCATGTTGCAGCATCCCTACATGCTGGAGCATCCCTGCACACCCCAGCATCTCTGCACGCTCCAGCATCCCTGCATGTTGCAGCATCCCTACATGCTGGAGCATCCCTGCACACCCCAGCATCTCTGCACGCTCCAGCATCCCTGCATGTTGCAGCATCCCTACATGCTGGAGCATCCCTGCACACCCCAGCATCTCTGCACGCTCCAGCATCCCTGAACGTCCCAGCGTCCCTGTGTGCTCCAGCGTCCCTGTGTGCTCCAGGCGTCACTGTGTGCTCCAGCATCCCTATCCCTGTGTACTCCAGCATCCCGGTGTGCTCCAGCATCCCCGCACACCCCAGCATCTCTGCACGCTCCAGCATCCCTGTGTGCTCCAGGCGTCACTGTGTGCTCCAGCATCCCGGTGTGCTCCAGCATCCCTGCATGTTGCAGCATCCCTACATGCTGGAGCATCCCTGCACACCCCAGCATCTCTGCACGCTCCAGCATCCCTGCATGTTGCAGCATCCCTACATGCTGGAGCATCCCTGCACACCCCAGCATCTCTGCACGCTCCAGCATCCCTGCATGTTGCAGCATCCCTACATGCTGGAGCATCCCTGCACACCCCAGCATCTCTGCACGCTCCAGCATCCCTGAACGTCCCAGCGTCCCTGTGTGCTCCAGCGTCCCTGTGTGCTCCAGGCGTCACTGTGTGCTCCAGCATCCCAGTGTGCTCCAGCATCCCTGTGTGCTCCAGGCGTCACTGTGTGCTCCAGCATCCCTGAATGTCCCAGCATCTCTGGACGTCCCAGCATCCCTGTGTGCTCCAGCATCCCGGTGTGCTCCAGCATCCCCGCACACCCCAGCATCTCTGCACGCTCCAGCATCCCTGAACGTCCCAGCATCCCTGAACGTCCCAGCGTCCCTGTGTGCTCCAGGCGTCACTGTGTGCTCCAGCATCCCCGCACACCCCAGCATCTCTGCACGCTCCAGCATCCCTGAATGTCCCGACGTCCTGCACACCCAAGCATCCCTGCGTGCTCCAGCATCCCTGAATGTCCCAGCGTCCCTGTGTGCTCCAGCATCCCTATCCCTGTGTACTCCAGCATCCCGGTGTGCTCCAGCATCCCGGTGTGCTCCAGCATCCCTGAATGTCCCAGCATCTCTGGACATCCCAGCATCCCTGAATGTCCCGACGTCCTGCACACCCAAGCATCCCTGCGTGCTCCAGCATCCCCGCACACCCCAGCATCTCTGCACGCTCCAGCATCCCTGCATGTTGCAGCATCCCTACATGCTGGAGCATCCCTGCACACCCCAGCATCCCCCTCAATGCAAGTCACCAGCACAAAGCACGTGGGAAATCCAAGCCCTCCCTGCTTCCCCACCACTGCTGCCTCTTGGCCGGCGTGGCAGGGCCGGTTCTCCCGCGGGCACCCCGGCCAGGCAGGGCTGAGCTCCTCCCCGCAGCCTGCGAGGGAGCCGTGGGGAGCCCGGAGCAGCTGTGCAGGGAGAAATCGCCCCCCACACATGCACATACAACACTGCAGCTGCTTAAAATTATCCTTCGCAGGCATACGGTGCCGCTGCGCTTGCCCACGGCCCCGGGTCTTTGTGGATGTGCCCCGGTGCTCAGCGAGGTTGCCAGCCTTGACCCCGCGGTGGTCCCACGTTCCCAGCCGGCCTCCGCAGCCGCCTTGCTGGGGGAGGCAATGCAAGGCAACGGCATGGCGGTGCTCTGCAGCCCTCCCAAACCTCCCCGGCTGCTGGGCTGCCTGCATGAGTCACAGCGGCTGCACCGAGGCTGCCTGCGCTCAGCCACAAGCAAAAATAAAACCAGCCGAGTGCTGCAAAGCCGTCACCTCCCCCTCGCAGCGCGGCTCTGGGGGCTTCAGCCGCCGGGCTCGGCCCCCGGCTGGGTCTGCGCACACGCCTGCACATGCATGTCAATGAGCACACACGTCTGTGCCCATGCATGCACACACATGCGGTGACACACAGCAGCACACACGTGATGCGTTCCGTCTTCCTCCCCTCCTTCCTCCCCTTCTCCCCGCCGCCCCGAGTTTTGCCTGAGAAATTGGGTCAAAAACCACAGGAGCCTTAATTGCCCCTCGGCTCATCGCGTGTCGGGGACGGCTCTGCCATTTGTGCCACCGCTGCCCGCGCCCCCTCCTGCCTGCGCCTGCCAGCACCATC